AATTTGAAATCAAAGGACCTAAATGCAAATCTTGTTGTTGCCACTGGTCACCTATCTAACTTGGGGTAAGATGCTAAACGTCTCTGGGCTTCAGTTCCCTCATACGTAAAATGAGGGGGTTGAACTATATGGCTTCTTGGGACCTTTCTTTCCATCTCCAAATTTATGATACATAAACCTGTTCCATATGAGGCCTACTTTCTTCTATAAAGTATTCATGAGAAGGGCTCATGCATCTATCAGTGAAAATATCAGATTCATTAGAGGTAGGTAGGCTTTCACAGACTATTTTCTACAAAACAAACTGCATCTCTATAGTAATATGACTGACCGAAAAATGCAGAGAATACAAGCTCCTTCTTTTTATTGTTTGTTAATTACAAATACACAAACAAAAAAAGTTGACTTAGTAGAGCCAAACACAGCTTTTAAAGAAGGGCTTCTTAACTTGAAGTCCACAGAACTCCAAGAGGTCCATGGATAGATTTCAGGGGTTCCAGGAATTTGGATGGGAAAAAATATATATCTTTATTTTCACTATTGTCTAAATGAAATTTAGCATCTTCTTCAATTATCTAAAAATATTATTCTAAGAAGGAGTCCATAGGCTGCCAAAGAGGTCTATGATACAAAAAAAGTTATGAATCCCTATTTTAAAGGCCCCCCTCCAACAAATTGTCTCTGATGTGATACTGTCACATGAAATTCCTTGAGAGTTGAAACTAGAGAGAGAATTTTGTTCCACAGTGCTCTGTTTCTCAACACCAAGCAACCAAAATCTGGAAACATGGTCACCAAATATGTTCTCCACTGTCAAGGTGAATGATCTGTAAAGAAAACAGGTTTCCTGGAGATTGGAGAGGTTCTCCAGGTAGTCCTCTTTTTGGATGACATTATGAATAATTGCACTAAGCCCCAGAATGCAACAGGGCTTCCTCAACAAGATTATGACTATTCAAAGAAATTAGCCTAGCAACACACACAGAAAAAAAACAAGTGGATGAATCTTGATCATGATATGTGGTTGAATGTACAATGAATTAAATTAGTCCATCAATACATATATCTTGGGTAGGGCATATACCCAGGTGTATGCCTGAGCCAGCTTAAACATTAAATTTTGTTAAATTTTCAATGTGTGCATTTAGAACTCAGAAATCAACAAACCTACAAAGCAAGGATTTATTATTGTTTGTTGATTGTCTCGACTTAAGAAAATGTTAATAGCGCAGATTAGACTTAAAAGTGTATAATACATACTTTTTTTTTGAGAAGATGGTTGTTAAACATTTACCATCACACTTTTGAATTGTACCTAGACGGAACAGGAAATGAGAGGGACAAAAGAGGGCAGGATAGCAGTTGAGAAAATATAGAAGGCTTTCAATGACACAGGCAGCTCCCTGAGAGAGAAAACTCATCTCTTTCACACTAATAGACTCCCAGTGATGCTATATAACTGCAAATCATCGACCACCAAAATATCAGAAAAAATTACAACTGCAGATGGCCCGAGGGCCAGGGAGAAATGCAAGGGGATGTAAACGTCCAAGTGATAAACTAGAATGAAAGATACCTGCAAGGAAGATAGGTGACAGAAATAGTCCATAACCTTTGAGATAAGAGATCCCACTGCTAGGCATACAGCTTAAGAAAGCCAAAGACAAACTGTTCCCATATGCACCACAATACACATGGCAGCACTTTTTGTGGGAGCAAGAAACTGGAAACAAAGTAAAGGAGATTCCCAACAATTGGGATGTTGGTTAAATAAATAAACTCATGTAAGGCATGAATGCAATGAAAGGTTACTTATTACTCTGCCAGGAGAAATGATGGATATGTAGAATTCAGAAGAGCATGGGAAGATACTTAGGCTTATACAATCATAAATGCAGGGTTGCAATGGACCTCAAAGACCAATCCCCTACTTTTACAGATGAGGAAACTGAGACTCAAGGAAGTTAAGTGATTTGCCTTAACACAGGTTGTAAACATATGAATGAATGTAGAGCAAATAAATAGGAAAAAACTCCAATAAACACAACTCTAATGATGTCAATCAAAAGAAAAAACTGAATAGTGTATAATTATAGTGACCAAGAAAAGAGACGGGGAAATCCACCTCTCTTCCTTCTTTGCAGAAGTGGGGCATCAATTAGGTGCTGTAATCCCTGCCTAGGAGGAGTTTATAATCTAGCCATGGGAGACAACATGTATATACATAGGTATATACAATATAGAAAACAGCTACAGGATAATTTTGGAAGGAAGGCACTAATAGCTTGGGGGACTCAGGAAAGGTTTTGTCCAAAAGGTAGTCTCTTAGCTGAGCCACCGAAGAAAATTAGGAATTCTAAGACAACAGTGAGAAGGGAGAACCTTCCAGGCACGGGGGACTAGCAGGGGCACTGTAAGGTTCAAAAAGATAACGGATATAAAGCACTTTGCAAACTTTAAAGTGATAATGAATGCTATTATTATTATTATCATTATTATTGTTAGCATCCAGTCACCAGCCTCCTGTCTGGGGATGACTTCATTGTCTAACCCTTCTACTGAACCCCTGCTATGCTAAAGCAAGGTTTATAGGGCAATACAAGGGTGTGCTGTAAATGTTTAACAACCAGGCTGGGGGTGGGGGGAGAGGGGGAAAGTCTAGACAATCAACAAAGCAATAAATCAAGCCCTAATTTATATCCTGGTTTCTGAAGGTGCAAACACTGAAAACTTAATAATTAGCTCTTTCGAGTTGATTAAAGCTGACTCCAGCACACCCCTGGAGACTGACAATGCAAAGGCAGAGATACGGAAAAGAGTGCCATGTATGAGGAAAATTAAGAAGGCTGATTTGTTTGGCATATGGTATGTGTAGGAGAGTAGTGTGTAATAAGGCTACAAAGGGAGAATGGGCCAGATTGTGAAGCCTAAAAATGCCAGGGGAATTTTTATTTGATTCTAGAGGCAATAGGCAGTTATAGGAGTTTATAGAGGAGAGGAACAACATAGTTACACTTGTACTTTAGGAAGACATATGTAAAACATTGTATACAATGTCAGACTCAGTTAATTATTGGTTAATTTTGTCAAACTGCTTTTTTCTATTTTATTCTTTGTTATAAGGGACATTTGATGTATAGGCACTAGGGATATACTCAGAAGTAAAAGTGATACAAAAATAAAAGATATCAACAAAAATTTTTCTTAGTGAAAAATATCAGAAAGATATGTATTACTAGAATAGGTGATGAGCCTTTCATTTGGTAACAGCAAAAGACAGCAGAACAGTACCAGCAGTACTGGTACCCAAAGCATGTTATAATAATAATAATAATAACAAACATTTATATAGCATTTACCATGTGGCAGGTACTGTGCCAAGTTCTTTATGATTACTATCTCATTTGATCCTCACAACAACCCAGTGAGGTAGGAGCTATTACTATCCCCATTTTACACATAAGGAAACTGGGGCTGCTTGAATGACTTGCTCAGGGTTATCTCCCTAGTAAATGACTGAGGCAGGATTTGAACTCAGGTCTTTCTGACTCCAACTCCAGCACTCCCTCTCCTCCAAAACTTATATGCCTCTAAAAAAGTGCCAGAAGAAAACTTATGGTGCTAGAGTAGCTCATCCTGGGAAGGATGTAGACAGCAATTGCAAAGGATGAGCAAAGGTGGAAATGACTTGTTCTCCGCACTTTGGAGAGAATATTCCCATTGGGGTGGGGGGTGGGGGGGTCCACAGGTCACTGGAAGCCCAGAAGAGCTTACTTGGTTATTTTCAGGTAACTTAACTAATTAATGAGGGCCAGATATAGTACCAGAACCCATGTCACCCTTCTTTAAATCTTGTGGTACCTAGCATGGTGCCTTCAACATCAAAAGTACTTAACTGAAATAGGCTGAATTTAATTGAATTAATATAGAACCAGACTTAGAGAAGTAATGGGAAACATCCATGGAATTTTGAGCAGACATATTTTCCATAGGCTTAATTAGGCATCCATTTGTGAACCCCCTATTACTTTTTGCAGGCCAGGGTCTTTTTCACCCCTTCTACAGAGCTGGAGGTGCTGAGGGAAAGATGCCCAAAGCTGTGGAGCAAAGGGGCAGCATCACAGACCTATGCTTCTTCAATTCAATTAAAAAAATCAGCAAGTATTTATTAAATATCTATAACGTGCTTGGCACTGAAAATATAAAGACAAAAACCAAACAGTCCTTGCACTCAAGGAGCTTATAATCTACTAGAGCAGGCCACTTTTTGTACACCATGCAAGTTACAAATGACTTTTTTTTTACATTTTTAAATACAATAAAACTTTATTTTAAAGTGTAACCACCATTCTCAGCTGGAGGCTGTACAAAAGCAGGAGACAGGGGCAGCTAGGTGGCACAGTGGATAGAGCTCTGTCCTTGGAGTCAGGAAGACCTGAGTTCAAATCTGGCCTTGGACATTCAACACTTACTAGCTGTGTGACCCTGGGCAAGTCACTTAACCCTGTTGCCTAGCCAAAAAGAAAAACAAAAAACAAAAAAAACCAAACAGGTGGCAGCCAGATTTGGTCTGTGGGCTGTAATTTGCCAATCCTTGTACTAGCGGGAGACAACATATGTACAGACAAGTAAATGCTAAACGGATACCAAGTAAATACAATGCTATTGTATTTAGAAGGGAGAGTACCAAGTGGGAGGATCAAGAGGAAAGACTTGAATTGAGCTTTAAAAGGAGATAAAAGATTCCCAAACCATCTGCTTGACTAGATCTCATCTCATCTAACTAGATTGATTGGGTGGGGAATAATCTCTGAGGTCTGTCCACTGTTCAGATCTACTCCTCCATCATTTCCTCAGAGAAAACTCTTGGTGGGGGGTCCTCCCGCTCCAGCTACCCACCTCTGCTTGTCATTACCACCAGGGCACAAGTGTAGCCCTGATGATATTGTTTTCTGTTATAAAACAAGAACATGCAATTCCATGAAATAAAATGGTCTTACAAGGATTTTCGGCTTCAAAGCCTGGGCCACATTTTCCATTGCGTTGACAGCTGTCAAAGTCGTCACTCCAGTGGTACCCAGGGGTACAGGCACACTGCCGTGGGAATGTTCGATTGCCAGGATGAACTACTTTCAGACCTTTTCCTGAGAGGGAGAAAAAGATGTAAAGGCCAGACCCACTCAAATCTTTTCGGGGGAAGGGGGAGGAGGGATTCTTCCTGCATCTTTACCATTGCTGCAAATCCCAAACTAAAACCATGAAACAAAGCAGGCTGCCCTAGACCCTATGAGAAGATGGGATGCATGCTTAATCCTTTAGGATTCAATATATTTGTATTTAAGAACGCAAATTCTCTCGACATTGTCACACTTTCTGTGTTAAAGTCTCCAGAAATGTTTTCCCCAACTTTAAAAGCTTGAGTTTTTAAACAACATTAGTACTCTACTACTACCACTGCTGCTGCTGCTGCTACTACTACTATCAACAAGAACAACAACTACTACTGCTGCTGCTACTACTACTACTACTACTACTACTACTACTACTACTACTACTACTACTACTACTACTACCACCTCATATTTACATAACATTTAAAGGTTTACACAGTGCTTTTCTTACAACTTTGAAAAATGAGGGAGAGCATTACTGTTCCAATTTTACAGATCAAGAAACTGAAGCCCAGGGATGTTTAGTGACTAGCCCAGGGACATACAGCTAGTAAGTGGAAGAGCTGGAATTCAAATTTAGGTTTCTTTAGTCTAAGAATGTTGTAACACCAGTGCTCTTTCCACTACAATACATTACAATACAATTCGATTCAACAAATATTTATTAAGTGCTTACTACGAACAGAGTTTAGTATTCTAGGCAAATGAAGAGATACTAATTTTAGGTAATATGTGATCCTCACCATTCATGGCACTTACAATCCAAAAGAGTGATATGACACATATACAAATAACTGGAATAGAGAACAGAACATGGTAAAAGTAAGAAGGAGGTACAAAGTACTATATGAAGTCTGAGTGGGGGAAAGTATTAATAGGGAAAGTTTTATAGAGGTAATGGCATTTGAGTTGGATTTTTAAAGGAGAGGTTCAACAGGTGGTGAATGGGTGGGGACTACAAGGGAAGACATTCAGTCCAGAGAATACAATGAGTACAAGCACAGCGCTGGGGGGATCAGGGTGGGGGTGTGTGTGCTGCAAGAAGTCTAGTTTGGCTGAACAAAGAGGACATCAAAGAGAACAAATAAAATAAGACTAGGGAAACAGGGTGGGGTAACAGACAATGCCAGGCAAAGTAGCTTGAACTTGACTTGGTAGACAGAACAGAGTCGCTGAAGAATTTTGAGCAAAAGGAATGATCTAACATACATTAGGAAGATTATTGGTCTGGCAGCAGTATAAAGCACAGATAGTGGAAGGGAGAGACCAAAGAAAGAAAGATCTGGTATGAGACCCTAGCAATAGTCCAGGTGAGTGGTAATGTGGGCCTCCACTTTAGGATGGTGGTGGTGAGAAAAGACAGAAGGGGGCATACGTAAGAGATAGACTGGAAGTAGTATCTGTAGGACCTGGCAACTCATTGGAAATGAGAGGTAAGGGAGAAGAAAGGGTCCAAGGTAATGCCAAGGTTTAGAACATAAGAGACTGGGAGAATGGTAGTACCACTCTCAGAAATAACGAAGAGGGAAAGAGGACTTGGATTTTAGGGAAAGGGTCTTGGTTTGTTTGAATTACCTATGAGACATCCAGATAGACATTTCTCGAGGAAAGTTGGAGGGGTGGACCCTGATTCTGGGAGATAAGTCAGGTTGGAAATCTAGATTTGGCTATCTTCTGTATAGCTTTCATGGTTGATGTTGTGGGAAGAAATGAGATTTCAGCAAGGGATAGAGATAAGTGGAAGGGAGGGAAAAAGGAAAAAGGAGAGAGACAGAGACAGAGACAGAGATTGAGAGAGAGAGAGAGAGAGAGAGAGAGAGACAGACAGACAGACAGACAGACAGAGACAAAGGGTCAAGAGCGAAACCTTATGATATATTCATTTTGGTGGGTTGGAAAGAGGAGAAGAGCTCCCAAAGGAGACAGAAAAGGAGTAGTTAAAGAGGTGGGAGAAAAGCAGAGGTGTTTTGGAAGCCAAGAAATGACAGGGGCCACTAGGTAAAGTCAACAAGCATTTGGCACTGAGGCGATTCATTCTTTGGCCATGCCAAAAGCCGTGGAACAAAGATAATTATAAAATGTCCCTAGTTATATGTGTCCCCTTCTAATCTTTCAGTGGTGATGATAGAATGGCAGAAAAGGGACAGAAAACAGACAGAGTTCTCAGACCAGCTGTAAAAAAAGTAGTTTAACTGTTGGTACTATGTGCTATACACAAATTTTGGAACTTAAGGACCTAGTTTCATATCTTGGCTCTGATACTTACTTACTATGTGTTCCTGGACACATTTGTGATACTGTGTCAAAAGGCTTAGTGAAAAGCCTTCTAAGTACTTAGAGAGATCCTCCACAGAGCATCTAGAGGAGAAGGTATTCAAGACTCACTTAGGAAGACAAGGCATGGTTGGATTGTGATCTGCCACAGTGGACATGGTACCCACTTCCATGAGATCACAAGTCAACTAATTATGAACTATGGCTGTGAAGAAGAGAAGAGCAGAGAGATGTTTGTAGGCATATGGAAAGGAGTCACTGGAGGAGATATGAAAGATGAAAAAGGTGTGATTCTGGGAGCAGGATCATGGAAGAGGTGGGAGATGATGGAATCAAAGGTACAGGTGGAGGGATTAGCCTTAGTGAGGAGTAGGGATAACTCTTTTTCTATGACTTTGGGGAAAAAAAGAGTGGGTGATGATACTGAGAAGTTTTGATGATTAAAGGAAGATAGTTGATTCAAGTTTCTGTTAAACTTCTCAGTGAAGTAGGAAACCAAGCATGGTGGCTGCTGTAAGTATTGGGGTTGGGGGATGATATTTGGGTCTTTGATAAGACAATTACTAAGAGAAATAACATATGGGGTTGGGAAGGTGTAGCAAAGGCCTTGCTAAGGTTTCACTTGTTCAAACTAGTTAGAGAAATGTGATGTTACACTAACATTTTGGTTAATGTGAAATGGCAGGTCCAATTGTGACTAAATTTTAATATAAACTCCTTGAAGGCAGGGGTTGGTTTATTTTTTTTTTTTGTATTTGCATCTACATCCTTAGTATCTCACATATAATATGCACTTAATATGTTTCTTGAATTGAAAATAATAAATACATTTAACATTCAAAATAAGCTGAAAAAATACACTGGGCCTTCAGATTCTTGCAACTGCATCAGGATGAGATGTTCTGATCATTACTAAAAACCGCCTAGTTGTGTACATGTAAAATGTAGCAGCATTTGAGGAACTGGAGCTGGGAGGAACTAGGTAGATCATCTGGTCTAATCTCTCATTTTGCAAATGAGAAAACTGAGACTCAAGTGTCTTTCCCCAAAGATCAGTTATGGTAAGTGATTTACCCAAGGGCAGTAAGGAGCAGAGCTGAGATAGGGACCCAATCCTCTGACTTAGAATCTGTTGATCTTAAACTATGTAGAGATAAAGCTTTACTGACATCATGACATATGCTTGTTATACTCATTTTTGGCCTAAATTCCTGATATCTATTTTATATTGGCTCTGTTTCATCAAATTATAGTGTAAAGTGCTTTTTAAAAATCTGGTCATTTGATTTTTTTGACCATTTCTATTCTGAATAAATGGAATTTTGCTGTAGTAAGCTTCAAGGGTACATAGCCTTGGTATTTATGTAAAGCACATTAGACAATTCAATAATTCAATAAATATTGATTAAGCACTCACCATGTGCAAGGCAAGAGGGAGAGAAAAGCCAAAAATGAAACCACTCCCATTCTGGCAGGGTTTAGATTTGGAGACAAATGACTGCAAGCAAAATTACTTCTTGAGAGAAAGCCAAAGGCAGTGTGGAAAAAACAACGGATTTGGAATCTGAGGACTTGACTTCAAATTTTGGCTCTGATTCCACCTATTTTCCTGTGCGCAAGTCATTTAATCTCTCTTGGCCACAGTTTACTTGGCATCCCGTGATGTCATTGGCCCCCTTTGAAAATGGGCAAACAAGAACTTAGAAGGTTGGATTCAATGACCTGAGGCAGCTAGGTGGCGCCAAAGTGTACAGAGTGCTGGGCCTGGAATCAGGAAGCCCTGAGTTTAAATCTGGCCTCAGACACTAACTGTGTGACCCTGGGCAAGTCATTTAACCTCTGTTTCTCTCAGTTTTCTCATCTGCCAAATGGGGATAATAATAGCACCTATATCAGGGTTGTTGTGAGGATCAAATAATATAATATTTATAAAAGCACTTGGCCAGTATCTGGCATGTGGTAGGAGCTATGTAAATGCTTATTCTCTTCTCTTCACCTCTAAGGTCTACTCCATCTCTCACAATGGGATTTTGCCTGGAAGAGGCCTGCCTGCCTTACACTCCCCAGTGAAAGCCACACAATTCTTATACCTCAAGTTCCTAAAGTCTTAATTATAGCTGCAAAGAGAAGCCTGGCCCCACTGTCACACTCTTGAAGTTAATGTTTGGTGTGGCTGGGGAATCCCTGCTTCCATTCATGGTCTGGCGCCATGCTAGAGCTGTGGGGAAATTCCCATTTTTTCCCTGTTCCTACATTGTGGTATCTGGTTCAGCCCTGCTGCTACTCATTGACATCAAAATGAATCCCTTTTTTGTAAGGGTCCTGACTTCTTCCCCATATGCAACACTGAGAAAATGGGGCTTGGGCGTCGAGTGCTTTTGAACTGCACACTCATAGACTGGAAGAATACCAGGATTTTCTGAAGTATATAGGGTGTTCTAAAGAGTCCCGTGTGGGTAAAAGATTTAAGAGCTTAAAAATGCATTAAGACTTTTGGGATACATATAACATAACATAACATAATAATATGGTATAGTATAATATAATATGAGATATGATATGATATATGATGACATGATATAGTATATGATATATGACATAAAATATATAAACACACATATATGTAATATTCTCAATGACACTTTCTCATCCCTCTCTGAAGTATGAAACCTGGCTTCCCAGTTTTTATCAGATTTTTA